AAAGCTGAGGCCGACAAGGATTATTGGTAGATCCATTTTACACGTTCAACCGCTTGATAACGGTTCATGGACTTGCGAATCTTTTACAGTTACAGTCTCACCTCTTCTGAGCATCATCGATCGAGCTGCAGTTTGTATTAAAAAAAGCTTTGTATATATATGCTTTTTTGATATGAAAAGTTTCCCATGATGCTCAGTGATCTCAGCTTTCTAGGTTTTTGGTGACTAACTTTATTGAAATAAGTGTATAAGTATAATAAAAGCTACAAGAAATCAACATGAAAAAATAGTGAATGCATTAAATTTACGACATTTTGGACAGATTAACTTAAAAGTACGAACATATTCTCCATCAAAAATCTGGTTTAACCTAAAAATGCTAATGGTATTACTGTGTTAACATTTGTTTATTAAAACAGCCATTTCCATGATTAAATACTGTTCACGCAATCCCTTGAGTATTATTTCCTTTGCCAGTACGTAGCAGTAAATGTTCGAGAAGAAATTAGTGTGTATGAACGAAAAACAAAATTCTCAAAGGAATAGACCCTTTTAAGGCTAACCGCTGTGTTCCTTGATAACAGACTCATTTACACAGGCTTACCCCAAATTCAGTTCCCAAACTCAGGAACTCATACACTTTTAAAATTCCACGGACCTTCACTGGAACACCTTAATATTCTTCACAAAATCGAGGCTAGCCCTGAGCAGCAGACAATTTGAAACTGAGAAGTTAATGTTATAAACAAACATGGTGATTAAGTTGAAGATCACTGGTATTTTTGGTAAGGTTATACACACAATCAACACTACTGGTCACACTCAAGCACTCCATCATGTAACTAGCTCCTTAAGTGCCGTTTTAATCTTGCACAGACGTCCACTACAGTCAATTAACAACCATTCCTGTCATTCCATAGACCTAAGAGCTTTGAACTTTGGGATCTTTATTGAAGTGGAAAATATCAAATAAATCCGAGCTTGTCGCAATCTCTCGGGAATTTATCAGACCTCTTGCTTCTGTGGAATGGACGAGAAGATCTATACGCTCGTTTTGTTAAGGGTTCTTATCTTATCACAGCCTACAAACGTCTCGCGATACGAGAATTAATAGTTTTAGTAGATTATCAATCTTTTTTTAATAGCCAATGTGTCTTATTTTGCTTAACAGCTCTACCGTTATCTTTTAGACCATACATATTTGATTCTCTTACCGTCGCATAGCTTTATCGGGCTTCTGATACAAAATGTGCGAATGTGCATGTGTTTTCTGCCGGGATGAGAAATTTTCTTAAGACATGACTGGCTTGCAACAATTGCGACCGCTATGCTCTGCGAGAGCAAAAAATGTAGCAAAAAATCAGTTTTAGTTTTCAGTCTCTGCGACATTTTTATGATTACAAGTATATATATCAATGACTATATATAGCAGCCTATTGCAGGCTGTAGGCTATCTGTAGCTTTAGTGAATTATTCTGCCTTTTGTACCTCTCTCGTTTTAATTACTTTTACCCAAAACAGTAGAATAGAATCTCATGACAAGAGATTAAAGACGAATATCATAGTTCATAGAAAGTAAAGAAAAGAAAGAAAAATAATGACATAATGGCATAATTTAGAAATCAATATATTAATTTAGGAAAAGGAAGGAAAGAAGGAAGGAAGGAAGGAAGGAAGGAAGGAAGGAAGGAAGGGGAAGGCCGATAAAAAAAGAACACCCCGAGATCATGCAGATCTTTCTTTACCTCCTCCACCGCCGCAGGGGAGGGAGGAATAAAGAAATCAAGTTTGCATTCTGAAAAAGCCACCTATATGATAGACATGATTCCTACTCGTACTTTGTAGCGATGATAGTTGCAAATGCATACAAGCTGTCGTTCTTATAACTCGCCGTCGCAAAGTTATCTTGATCAGGAGTCCATAAGCATTGCACTGCAGAATGAATGCCTTTCCCTCGCAAAGCAGCAATATACACATTACAGACTAGTTTATGATTATCACCGATGAAATTCTGCACCGCTGTCTTGATGTTCTGACTAATGTCAAGACACCACTTCTGACATAACTCTGAGGTGAATGCTTTCCCTTCAAGGTAGTTTTTCAAATCCTGACAGATCAGTGTTTTAATGAGCCCATTCAGTTCCACCACTTCGCTATCGATTTTAGTGGCAGTACAAAGCTCGCCTGCAGAGCTGGAAATCTTCCTGTCCAAAGACACTGTTGTATCACTTTCTTCTTCAGAAACGGGGACAAAAAATAAATCCGGGCTCTCGAGGCGGTGAAGTTGCAAGCGAGGGGTTTGTTTCACGTTGCTATGGCGATCGCTGTCAGTATTTTGACCGTCTTCAATGCTTGTATCATCTTCATGGTTAGTGTCTGTTGACTGGGATTTCTTTGATTCTGGATTGACAGTTCGGTTTTCAGTAGTAATGCCCGTGTTTGACCTCCCAAACAGCAAAGCTTTTAGTACGTCCTTTTCCAATTTGTCTTGCGAATTAAATTGTTTTCTCTCGGCTTTCGGGGTCAGTGAACTTGCTATTTGTTGAGTTGATTCATTAACTTCGATCTCATTAAAATTGTTACCAACATGACTGGGAAGCGAAGCCCTTCTGCCCCAAGATTTTTTCTTGGATTTCTCCTTAACATCTTCGGTAGGCTGTCTTTTCATGACAGGATTTTTAGGCGGCTCGTGAAAGTTTTCTGGCGTAGCGAGTCCCTCTTCTTTCGTCTCTAATATTGTATTATATTGTTGTTCTCTTAATCCAAGTTTCAATGAACTAGAAGTTCCAAGGGTTTTCGGAGCAGAGTTTGTTCGAAATATTCGTTTTTTACCTTGCAGATGTTTGCGAAACAATCCTTCATCGTGAGACCTCTGCTTGACAACGTGTGGCTTGATGAGCCAGTGAGGTAGAGCAATATTCTTAAACTTTCTAGTCTTGGGACATTTAGACTCGCTGCTTGGTTCTTCCATGAATTCTATCTTTGCTGGGCTAGAAAGATGTTTTGTTGAGCAGCCGGGCACGTCTAAATCTAGGTCATCAGCACTACAAGAAGCATGGAATACAATCTTTGAAAGCACGACTTCTAGCTCAATGGTTCGCATTTCGATTTCATTACTCTGTGAACTTATTTCACTTTCCTGTTCTTGGGGGATTTCTGCCATTTTTTTCGGATAATAGTTTCTACTGCATGAAGCAAATACTCGTGGTGTTCTCTCAGTGATGTCTACTTAAAGTTTTGACACTTATTCATCATCCCTGAGGTATCAGATGTGCGTCTGTTGTCGCCAAGGACGTATATTTCTAAATTAACAAACAGCAGCTCACAAAATCCATGTATTTTTAGCCATCCATCCACTCATCTCGCTGAAAAGTTGCTCTAATGTTATCGAAATCTTCAAATCTTTAGTAATTCTGGATGTTGGAAATTCTTTCCCAACGGAGCACAAGAACCAAGCGTTGACGTGACTTAGATATCTGCGTCTACTTTACAAATAGTAAATTCTTTTTTAGTCTAGGTATCACTTTTACACAGCCCTATTTCATCGTCTTTTTGTCGGCAAGTTTCAAAGGTCTTGACTGCAGTCAAAGTTTCGATTGAATTCAGCCAATTAGTCGCCAACTCTCGCTTTAGTTATTGAGACGAAAAGTTCGCTGTTCAAGATCAAGGCCAATGGTCTCTTACTTTGGTACTTGGAGTCCGGATATTAAATATTGGATATTAAAATATTCTAAGACAGTAGTCGTATTGCGTGTGTGTGCCTGCAGAGCTCAGTGACTGGTCGTGTGCTATAGGGCCTGGGAGAAACAGGTCTAGTTTTTAAAAATGCTGTCGTATTCCCCCCTTCCCCGCCCCTTTAACCTCTCAGGAAAAAATTGAAATCAAATGCCGTTCACCATTGTTCTACAAAATTGAAAACCTTATGCATATAGTTATAAACACATTGCAAATGTCCATTCTTTTCTGTTTCAGAATAACGTGTACTTTTTAAAGGCTTGGAATATTTTTTGTAATCTTTATAATTTCCATATTAAGGCAGGGTCTGGTTTCGTGCCCTCCAGTTGTATCAGTTTATCAAAACAGTGATTAAAATATTCCATACATCCAACCAGTAGGTTAAAGACCTTGATGACATACTGATCACTGGGCAGGGTTGTAAAGTAATCTTAAGAATGACCAGGAGCTCGTAGTGTTGTCTGATATGGATAGATCATGTGTAAAAGAATAGACGGATGTAGAAGAGAAGAGAAGAGAAGAGAAGAGAAGAGAAGAGAAGAGAAGAGAAGAGAAGAAGGCTATGAAGGCTCCGTCCACGAACATTCACTCAGGCTATCCTCTCATACAAAAATGTATGTAGTAAATAGATTTTGCTACAATTTTGTAGGTTTCGCTAAGAATTCGAATAAGAGGGCATTCAAATTTTTATGTGTATTTCCCCATAGTCAAACATTTGAATGCCCAGCATTGAGTTCATGTTGGTCTGAGTAACGACGTCATATCCGTCCTAATTTTTGGCAAGTCGTATCGGCCACTTTAGGAAATTTCGTATGACTGTGAAAAGCTGGTGGTGTGACAGCGTTTTGTGTTTCCCCGTGTTTTGTGTTCCCCCCAACACTGACCACTACCAACAGAAATATCAAAAAAAAAAAAAAAAAAAAAAAAAAAAAAAAAAAAAAAAAAAAAAAAAAAGGAAAATACCAACAGAAAAGTAAAGAATGCACTAACTTCAACAATACAAACATTTTGTATCTCGACGGACCTTGACTTGGAACACGTGAATAGGTTGCTATCAATAGACGTCACTTCCGGTAATAGCTCTTTTTTGATGCTCGTAGAATCCTGGAAGTTGTTTTGATCTCTCGTTTTCTGGTTTGATGTCGTGAAAATAGTTAAATACAATAGTTTGAGGACTTATTTTGATATGTTTTGACTTAGCATCCGCTATATTTGCCCCCCAGTCAACCGCTTGTTTGCCCCCCAGTCAACTCCAAAAAAGTCACGTGATTGATAGTAAGCAATATTCTGCACAAACTCGAGGCTAACCCTGTGCAAAGAGTCTGTAATCAAGAAACATAGCGGTAATTGGGTCTATACGAAAACTGGTACAGTGCATATGTTCCAAAGTTGGGATCCCTGTGTGTGATGAAAAGCAAAGCAAGCCCAAACTCCAATATTTTAATTTACTTTTCAAAAATGAAGTTCAACAGCACTCGAGGTAAAGTTGGTGGCTTAACATTCGAAGAGGCGATTTTTATGGGATACGCTAACGATGGTGGACTATTACTACCTGAAGAGATACCAAGACTGGACGAGGATGTCTTTAAGAAATGGTCACGTCTTTCGTATGTGGACTTGTGCATTGAGATCTGGGGTCTGTTTGTTTCCGAATCTGAAATCAGTAAAGATCAACTTCGAGGTGAGATTTAAGATCGAAGTTAATGTCTAATGTTTCTCGAATTCGCTTGAATGGCCACCAAATGATATGAGGTTTTTATAGAATACAGTAAATATTAAGTTTATATAACCTTAAGAGCGGCTGTCTGTAAATATCGACTGGGGGTGTGCAACATGGAAAAATCAAAAATCCTCAAACTTTGTCAAGAAATAGGACTATATTCACTAATATAACTTTTAGCTCGATCACGATAATATTTTTGGCGAACGGCGCCATTAATGGTTTGACGGCTCTTGGGCCGGTTTTCAAGGACTCTTCACCATATACTAATTAAAAATCGTTCAAAAAATAACACTAAGATAAACTCGAATAATGAAAGTCCAGCCCTAAAAACATATAGTTGCTTATTATTTTGGTGGGTTACTGGTTTCATTTACCGAATTTTAAATATTATGCATTTTTTGCCTACTTTTGAAGCCCAAAAAATGACCTAATTTCGGAAGGAAAAAATGCAAATTGGTACATAGCCTGGGGTTACGAGACTTTATTCCTGATGAAGACTGATGTTTCTTCTATACAATTCTTCAAAAAAATTTGGGCTACTAAAATAAATAAAAATTCAGAGCCCAAAACCTACAGGGCACTCGGGTCAATAATGTCATTGTTGTCACGGTATTGAGAACGTCACAGATTCATAATACGCGACGAAAAAAAATCATTATTTCCAATTTTTGAGACCTATAAACTCATAAATAACAGTCTAAGTTTCTTAGATGCATTATATTTGATKCATACTCCTTTTGCTTACACTTATTCACTTTTAAGGGTAATAATTATGTAATCAGTACATTCAACTACTTGTGTTTATACGAACCAGGAGGTAAGAGACGTCTCCAAGGTAAACAATGAATGAGTCATGTATGACAGTATGACAGTATGACGTCACGCCGTGGTTCAGCGATTTCACAATGGTGGCCAAGAGGAAAGAGTAAACGCTCGTGTTTATCTTCCCGTTTTCCCCCAAAAAATCTCAAAGATATTGCTTTATGAACCAGTCATATGGGTAAAGGAGTCCTTCGAAGATGTTTCTTCACTTACTTTGATGCTTTTAACGAAAAAGAGCTTTAGTTATTGAATTTTTCTTTGCGAAATACCTTTCCAAAAGCCACTCGAAAAAAGACGACACACAAGAATATTTTAAGACCTTGATGACTTAAAGATTTGATCTATGGCATCACAAAAGGAGGTTAAGGAACCTAGGTATTCATCTTTGTATTTGCGGAGTTTCGTGAAGAAACCTTCTGCACAACTGCTCATCAATCTGTTTGAAGTTGGAAAAACGTTTCCTTGGGTTTGACACCATGTTTTGCACAAATCATAAGTCAACAAGGCAGACTAGACTTGCAAAAGGTAAATATGTGAATAATTAATTAACTTGATAAGAGTGAATAAAAAAATCAAAAGTCATCAAATTTAAAATTAACTATTAACATAAATAACAAAAACTACCCCAGAGTAGGGTACAAACACTATAAGTGTGTAGCATAAATACCACTAAATACTGTTAAATTATTATTGTTTTCTATTGTTTAATTAGCATTATTTACTACTAAATAGTGCAAAGTGTTGCACACTTTTAGTGTTTGTACTCTATCTGTAGATAATATTTTGCCACCTTATTCTAAACACACAAAAGTCGTACAGTAAAGCTTGTATTATCCATGTTGTACTTTCCTATTCCTATCCTAAAATGATTTTAATCCATRAAATATGATCTTATATTCCAGGTTGGGCAAGCTCATATTTAATTTTGGTTCTTTTTAGAATTCAAATGTTAACTGGCGTGTTTCGCGGTTAAATATATGAAGTTTAATAAATAGGAAAGGAAAGTGTATTCGAAAGTTGTTGTGGTTGTTTTTCATAATTCGAGCGATTTCTAAGTATCAACAAGTAGATATCAATGTCATTGAAATTTTCCTGTGATGCATAATTTTTTCATAATCTCTATGATTGCTACACAAGTTGTTATATCAGGACCAGAGTGTTATGTCAGGGCTCCCACTTAACACTCAGAGATGCAGGCAGAGATGAAAACAACTGAGCAACAAAGACAAACATTCATACAAAATAGATGATTTAACCATAAACTATTACTAGATTTAAAATAAGAAGTCAAGCAAATAAAAGGACATGGGGAAAAGACAACATTTTACATGAACATACTGTATGCA